TATATGCCTTTCATAGCATAACTTGTCTTCGCCCAAGGTGTCTTTGGCCACAAAACAGATTCTTGTTTGGAGTTAGTGGCTATTCAAACTTTTGTTTGCATTCTAGTTTTCAGGTTTACTTTTAGATAGTATGATTTGCTCCTGCCAGGTCCAACTTTAATTTGATAGTTGGTCCCCTTAGGTAGCAAGGCATGGATTATGATTGTAAAGCTGAATAGCAGTACTAGTAGCCCAGGGGGCTGGTTGTGTGGCCGGTACTAGAATCCCAGGTCCTATGTCTTCTCTCAACAAGAGGCCAGGAGTTGGCAAGAATCTTTATCCCAAATCCGATATGAGCAGCATCCCTCTCACAGCAAGATGACACCTTCCCACGGCTTCCTTGGGCTCCAAGACTATTCCGTCTCCTCTGCCTTAATGCCGCCCCCAATGGCAACTGATAATTCTCATTCTTCTTAAGTCTATCTTCCTTCCAATAACTTTAGAAATGATAAGCCATTGGTTATGACTAGAAAAATGAATAAGAGGGATAGTACCCTAAGATGCTAGTTGTGTAGTGTGTACTAGGTTTTCCGGACCCAAGAGCAGGCCAGGACTTAGAAAGAAAATCTGCCTTCCTTCTAATGACTTTAGAAATAATAAGTTAGTTTTATATATCATTTCTTGGTAGATAGAGAAAAGCAATGGATCAAATTGAGCATATCTCAAATAAAAAGGTGTTCTGCTAAACATTCCATGAAATTATTGAATTTTTCTGCAGAGAAAATTTACCTTAGTATTTCCATGATACTGGATCACATCTTGGTTGCATGGATGATTTATTTGGTATGATAGTGACTTAGAAAGTTATCTCTCTGTAATATGGTTTAACACCCCACACTTCTTTGGAGCTGCCCCTCAACAGAGCAACAATCATATTAAAGTGATCTCAAGATGTGGGCACAGGACCATTCAGCCTGTGTCATTATGGAAGCACAGTAGTCCTCACCTATCGGGATACATTGCTTTCTAGAAAAGCAAGCACAAGGCTCATTTCAAGTAAGTCAACAAATTAAATTCCACGTTATGAAGACTGGTAGTTTCTATAAGTCCTGTCATCTTTAGAACTTCATTGAAAGCCACCGTCATTCTTGTGAAGTACTTTTGACAGATGCAATTGGATGGAGCAATTCCTATGACTTCCAAGTGTTAGTGCTACTCATGCTAAGTAATGACTTACAACTGAAAACACCATAAGCAAAGAAGGATAGAAGCCCTTTTTAATGGTTAAAGAGGAAAGATACCGAAGGTCTCTAGGAAGAGTCAGTCCTGGAATTATTTCATTCCTGGTGTTCTCATTTTGATAAATGACAGTGATTTTATTCATTCACTTTAAATGTGGGTAGTACAGGATGGGTAGAGGAAGTTCTCTGCCTGAAAGTTTTAAGAAAACAAAATAAACCTTTCACACAGTAAACTAAGGGGAGAAGGAGTAAATATTTTGATTCTGAGTCCTGAATTTGTTTAAATTTCATTTTATGATTAGATTTTTTTTTGTTTTGTTATGTTTTTTGTTGCTATTGGCAATGTGATTTAATGCTTTAAAACAAATAATAAAGGGAATTTTCATCTCAATAGTAAAGCATCAGAGATCCTTATGGAAGACACTCCAACACAGGAAATTTTTCTTTCCATTGCACTGTCATTACACAGGTTGCATGATGGCATCAATTTGAAAAGTTCATAGATGCTGGGTGTCAATTTCCAGACAGATTTCCTATACTTCATGAAAAGTATGGTAACTTTCAATTAAATTATAAAGATAAAAGGCATTATAGAAAATATCAATATTCATAAGGCTATATGCTATCAAGGGTAACAGAAAGGGAGGGGCAGAGCTAACTCTATATTAGTGCTTTTTGCATACAGAGGACTGAAATAGACTTTCAGTATAATAGTTGTAATTATAAAGGTGCTCAATGTAAGAGAAGCCAAAAGTTTTTCCACTAGCTAGGAACTACGTAGATGACAGTTGTGTCAAGTCCTCTTTCATAGCTACTGATAAGAATGCATCCAAAACACTATCTCTCAATCTGAGTCACATATTCATCACCACAGGTAGTTGTAACTCTGGGATAGACTGAAAAGCTACTTTGTGAATTAACAAGTTCTGCTTGGTGCACTTGATTTGAAAGATATTGCTCTATATGTTGGCTTTGCTTTGAAAAATAACAAAGTTAGCAGAATATTTCAATACTTTTTCTTGGGGAATCAGATTTTTATCATTCATCATTTGATTCATTAAGGATTTGCCTTACCCTAGCATTTGTGATATAAAGGAAAATTTAACAGTAATTTTCTTGATCAAGGTATGTTTTTACTTAATGCAAACAAGTGTAGTCTGTTGCTTGCAAAAAAAATCTTCTGATATCTGTTATAAACTGCTAAATAAGATAATATGTGCCTCTTTCGTTAAACCAGCATTTAAATGCTGGATTGCTTCCAAATCTGTTTCTTTTCATCTGTGCCATATGCTGAAAAACTTAAACAACTGTTGCCTTCATACTATATTTGTTATAGGAGAATTCAAATAAAATTTGTTTGAGGGGTAATTTTTCTGTTGTTTGTGAAATTTATTCTTTTGCCTTGAAAAATTAATAAATCAAATGTTCCTTTAATGTCGTAAATTTGGGTGTAAATATGTGTATTTAAAGTTGCCTATGTAAGGCAACTTTAACTTACTAGTAGGACTGGTCAGTAGTGGTTTAGTTCGTTGTTTCACTACACTTCTCAAAATTTAAACTATAGACTACTTTTTGCAAGCCCAAAACCTATTCCCGTTCCTCAGATTTCAATATTTGCATCTTTCTGAATAGTTAATAACTACCCTAGCAACAACCTCTGAGATGCAAGATTTAAGTTGTTGATATACACTCAGTGCTTCCAAAAATCCATCACCCATTCCTGGAATTCCTTTGAGGACTTTTTATAAAGAGTTGACTGTGTCTTTGTTGCATGGGTCATCCTCAATCTATTAATAAAAAAGAACTTTGACAAGATGATACAGTTGTTCATAGTTTGGCAATGAATCACCAAAAATGACTAGGGGGAAATCTCAATGTTCTTCTTTTTTTTTTTAATGAAATTTTTTGGGTCACTAAACACACCAAATCCATGTCAGTTTTACTTTTCCTCTTTTTCTTTTTTTGCCACTCAGATAAATCTCTAGGTCTGAGGTATATAGGATCTGGAAGGTTTTCTTTAAAGAGGTATACTGTATATATTTATAAGAAACAAAATCAAATATCCTGTTAAACTTTCCCTATATGTGGTTCTCTTTTCCCACCCCCATTCTTTCTCCCTCTCTCTTCAATATTTTGTCCCTTCCTCACCTCTGTTCCCGCCCCAGTCCTGCCATGCTTGTAGCCATCAAAGTCCTGCCTTTTGGTGTATAAGCCACATTTCTTTTTTTCTTTGTTTTCCATATAATAATGATTTTATTAAGTACTAATCTTTGTAATGTTGTTATTATTTTTTATTGATGCATAACATTCCATTGTGTAAATGTACCAGAGTGCATTTATCCATTCCTCTGGAATAGGGGTTTTGGTTGTTTCCATGTTTTTTTGTTTTAATGATTTAGGATTTAATACACGTATCATTCCACATTTCAGTCATGTCAAGTAGAATGTACAAATGCTACCAAATCCATTTCCAGACATTCTTTTGCAACATGGACTCCTTGACATCGTCTCTCTTTTGCACCTCCACCACTGTACCCCCATCCCTCTGAACCCCCTTTTCTACTTGCTGTCCCTAGGTTCATTGATCTAGGTTACATATACTGAAACCAGAAAATCACATAACACAGCTTCAAGAAGGTGACCTCCATTGATATAACACCTCTGCGATATACTCTAATTTAAGCAAACAAAAAACAAAACAATACAAACCAAAAATAACGCAAAATTTGGAAACTAGACAAAGTGTTAACTGTTCAGGTCAAAGTTATGCCTTTGATCTTCTATATTCCCCTCTCTCAAGCACTCTATTTAGTTTCTTCCCTTCCCTCAACGTTAGGTAGGGGAGTTCTCCAGAGGCTTATTTCTTAAGTAGTTCTACAAATGAATCTCAGGGTCCCACTGTCATCTATCAC